GATCCTCTTTCTCTGTAGGGCATATCTGCCTGCACTCTTACTGAGGATCGAGCCCAGAGGCCTGGGAACGCTAAGGACCTGCTCTCTTGCCACACAATGCTCTAGCCACACCAGGTTTTCTTTACAACGGATTCTGTGGCAACTTGTGGGTTTGTTTTCTCCCCTTGCTGGGGTGGTTTACTTTAGGCAGCCATTCAGCTTTTTGGTTCTCCACTGTCCCTTCCTGCCCCTGTTGCCCTGTACCTGTCCTGCTGCTTGGGCGTATGTAACTTCTCAGGTCTCTGGTCCCTTGTGTCGCCCACCTCTGCCCCACAGTGGTGCCCAGAACCTCTTCTCCTCCAGGACAGACCTCACATGTTTGGAGGACGACTGGGCTATCTCCTCCCTAGGCTAAAGACGCCCAGTTTCTTCAGTGATTCCTCTTTTGGCTGCATTTATCAGACCCTGTTGCGTTCTGATCACATATCCATGCTTTACTGTTAGAAAACTGGTGAAGTTATAAAAGATATTTTATTTCCCTAACTTTCCTTTGATAAGTATATTACTTCCACTCTTCTCTTTATATTTTGCCTACAATATCCCAGATAATTTTGACAAATACCTAGCCTGTATATTTGCTTATATTAATGACTCAGAAAGTTAAAGTCGCCCTAAAAAAATTGTTTAATTGAACAACTTTTGTGTAGTGCCTTTGGAGGGTTCTGAGTATTATTTAATAAATATCTGAGTAAATATATTGCTACACTTGATCTTAGCCAAAAGGCCGAGAAGCGATAAGAGAAAATATTTTCTAATATAAAATCAGTATTTTCTATTTGTCTTAGATAAGTTTCCCAGCATCTCCAATTCTGCCAAATCCACTGCTTGCTAAAGCTTTATTTTATCTGAAACTTGAAAAAAAATGACTTCTACTTCTTTATCCTCATGTTGCAGTCTTCAAAATATAAAACAAGCTACTACTGTCAAATATAACCTCACCCTCACTGTCCAGCCTAATGTAGAAGTAATCAGCAGACTAAGCTTACACCCAGTAGCACACAGCATCTTTAAGGCTCTGAATGCTGGTCAAACAGCATGATTCTCATCTTTGCCACAGCAGCACTGTTCTAGTGATCAGGTCTACTTTTGGACTGAGGCTGCACGGGCCCTCCCCAAACACACTTCTGGAACTTTTGTTACAGAACTCGAAGCTGAGCATCTAACCAAGTTAAATGGAAACCATTTTCTTTTTCTAAATACTTTTTGTATTATGAAAACAGCACTTGTTTATTGTTGAAAACAGAGGATTAATGTCAGTTACATTTATGTCATATATGTAATACATGTACTCTGTATAACAGTGCCTTGCAGAGAGTAAACACTATAAAAGTATCATGTATCATTATTTCTCATTTGTGTAAATATAGTAACCTGTTAAATAATCCTACCAATATTCAATATTCATTCTGTATGTATATACATATACACTGTTTTTACTTAAGAATGGGGAATGGGTATTGTATATATTTTTTTAAAAACTTGATTCTTTTCCCCTTCATGTGCCTAATATTTATTCATAGCAGTTAATGTTCATGTACTACATAATTTTAATGGCTACACAGGATGCCATGGTGGGAGTCATTAGTTTTGTTTTGTTTTTGTACTGGGGATTGAACTTGTGCTTGTGAGGCAGGCGGCGGAACCACTGAGGTAAATCCCTGGTCCCTAGCCATTAGTTTATTTACTTAGTCCTGCACTGTTATTTTATTGTTTCCATGTAGCATGACTACATAGTTTTCTTGTTTTCAAGGTCTCTCACCCCCTCCTGTGTCTAAGGATCCATGAGAGGAAAGATTGGTTTCCATCCTTTCTGGGGTAGAGGCTCAGCACTGGGCTGTGTAACCTAAGACACATCAGTAACAAAGCCGTGACTGTGCTGCAGGCTACACTCACACCTGTGGGCTTTTGTGTTGACACCTATAGCACAACAGTTTTCAGACGAGGTTGAGGAGGAAATGTCATAACCATAATCAGGAAACCATAAACAAAAATAGGCTTTGGAAACATTTAAAAAAATGATAGTAGTGTCTATTCTGTGTGAAATTGTTTTTCATTTTATGACTCAGTTTTTGAATTCCAACAATGAAATACACAGAAAACACAAGCTTTTCTGTGGTTTAGCCAAACAACATTATTTTTGTTTCACTATAGCAATATGCATTCTACCAAAATATCTTATTAACGAATATGTACTTCGTTAATGGGGAGCAAGGGGAGTTAGGTAGTTTATGAACAAATTTATAGGACACAGCATTGATTATCATTTTTATGTTAAATTAAAGAAATTTACATTTTATTCCATATAGATTTCTATTTGCTTTAAATAAAAATATTTTCAATTATTTTCCATCAAATTGCCACAACTCTGCAAGGTATGTCATGTTTTCCCTTTTTGTCCCTCTGCCACATTGCCTAGCATAGGTATCTGTATTCTGTTTTCTGCCAAGGGCCACATAGTAAATATTCCAGGCTTTGCAGCCCACATGGTCTCTGTCCAACGACTCTTCTCCATGGCAGACTCAGATCACCTGGGTCAAACCCCACGGACATAGTGTTAAGATACTCGTTATATAACATGGGTTGCCACAAACAAAATTTTGGTCCAAATAAAAGATTTTACAACTCTTTAGAGCCGTGGGGCTTGCACAACACGGCTGACTCAGGCTCCTCTTTCCTCTTTGCAGATCGGTCCGACTCAATGGTCAAACTCTGAGGATGGTGGATGACCAGACCCTGCCGGCTTTGACAGAAAAATCTCTCCGCCCAGGAAGCTCACTGGGCTTGCCAGCTTTCTCGTATGGGTTTTTTGTGATAAAAAATGCCAAAGTTACTGCTTGTTTATGAACACGAAACACAAACGCCAGTCCTGAGGTTACATATTTCAAATGCATTGATGAGTAAACCAACACTTGAGCTACAGAAGGCAAACAGATCCACTACAGATCCACTAGGGGGCGCTTCTGGGACACGGGGAACACCCTCCATACTAGATGTAGCACAGTAAACTCTGGTCTAAGAACAGTGCTGATAATAATAGAGAATAATACCACGTGGCAGACATGATGCTTAGCATTTGGCATGCACTATTTCTAAGGATATGGAAAATGTATACGAATGCTCCCAGTACGGCCAGGAGGCAAGCACGTGGAGGATGTGTTATTCACTTTAAGAAAGTACTTGTTTTATTTTTAGGAGCTGTCAGATTCTTTCCTTCACTTGCTATCTTTCTGGGCTCCCATGGGGAAACTTTATAGCCACAACCTTGAAATTGGTTGTAAAAAAGAAACCTTCTCTCTGCACTTTATCAGGAGCAAGATCCAGCCACTGTTCCTCTTCTCTCTGTCCTATTTGTCTTCATCAGTAGTAGTTTGTGAGAGGACAGCTGGTTACATATGAGAATGTCAAAAATTGGTGAAGACATTTCAGAGGGAAGGGATTATGTAAACTTCAAAGAAAGCTTTTGAATGACTGTAAATGAGATTGATTTACCAAGAGATGTTCTCCTAGAGAACATCCAATATATTATAGTCACCTGTTAGTGTTTAATTTTTCTCTACTGTTCTCATTTCAATTGGGAAGTGTTGAGCTGTAAGTAATAGAAAACCCCTATTCAGGTGGCTTGGACAATAAGGAAAGTTATAGCCCCACATAATGAGAGGTTCAAGGAGGGCAGACCCTGGATGTGTTACCTGAGAGGCAGGCTCTTTCCCTCTCTCTGCACTGCCATCTTGAGCATTGGCATCATTCTTGGTCTGGTAACATGACTGTAGGTATTCTGTGGTCTTATTCAGACCTGGTTGCAACCAGAAGAAGAAGATGAGCAGTCTTTTCTGAAGAGCCCTTTCCCAGAGGTTGTCCCAGCAAACCTCTCCTCTTCCTTCATGTTGACTAGCCAGGAAGAAGTCATGTGGCTATTTCCCCAGTCACTGCCCATGACCACCTGATGCCTAGCCCTGTCTCTGAGTGAACCCCATTTGGAGTGGAGAACTTGGTTCTGGGACATTCACTGCTCTGGATATGAGAGTTCTGTGCTTATCAGAAGCAAAATATAGTAATTTCCCCTAGTTTTTAATCCTCCTAAGGATTAATATTTATATTTATGCCTGTGACTATTATCTCAAACCTAAGTACACTTATAAAGCTAAAACTTAAAATTTGGATGGTTCCATATGCTTAAATTTTATATGTAAGTGATTTTTATATTTTCACATTTGAAATAAATTTTTTATAACCTTAATATCACATGACTAATTTTTAATGAAACTAAAGCTTACAGATTCCTACATTTGGGAACTTTGTTGCCCTTCACCTTTATTTGTCTTTTCAGCATCTCTCCAACACCAAAGGACTTGACCTTGAAGAAAAAGATGATTAAGCACAAACACATAGATTTAGTCATGACTGAAGTCCTGTCTTGTCCGTTTTTCCCCTAACCCTTCTACTTAATAAATTATTTTATCATCCCTAATTTTTCACTCATATTACTATAATAATCTCTTTGGTGTTCATTTTGACTTTGCTTAAAATTCTTAACAGTCTCCCCATTTCTTACAGACACAAGGTCCTCCATCACCTGGCACCTGTCTTTTTCTCCAATCTTAGCTCTTGTCACCCTCCCGAGGACCATGGGTCTCTAAGCACAGATGGGTTGAAGAGTCCGAACACATGTGCTCTTGGACCTTTTGTTCCCAAATCTTGCATGCTGTTCCTCTGACTTGACATGGACTATCCTAATGCTCCTCTGGGGGACAAACTCATGCTTATGAAGGAAGATGCAGCTCAGACACCAATTTCAACATCTCCTCTATCATTCAAATACGGTTCCTCCTTCTCTGCTTCCACAGCACGTTGCACATTTTCTGTGGTCCTTGTGACCCTTTTGAATGGAGTGTGTGAATCTGCTTCATTTGACTTGAAGCTTACGAGAAAATATGCAAATGTCTTAATCAACTTTGAATTACCTATGCTTAACAACTTGTAACCACACACAAAAGTAACCAATCAGCTATCTTCTTTTTGTTTTTAATTAAGGGTTTTTATTTTGCTGTTTTTTGGGGGGTTTTTTGTTTTTTGGTACTGGGGATAGAACTCGGGACCTTGCCCTTGCAAGGCAGGAGGCAGAACTACTGAGCTAAAGCCCTGGTCCAGCTGTCTTCTTAATGACATAAAAGAGTGTTCAAATTTGAAACTAGGCTGAGGTATTTTGGGTTTGAATATTCAAAAATCATTTAATATTTCAAACCTGAAAAGGTATTATCTCCTACCTCTTTGAAAATCTTTTACATTAAAATTAATGTCAGTGAGCTGTCACTATTGGTGGGTGGTTATATGAAAAACTGGCGGCCTGATTATGTGAAGAAAGGAACACTAACAGTTATGTGCTGAGAAATATTAAATGTACAATAATTTAAAGTTTCCCTTAACCTCCATAGGGGAAGCTCTTGTCCAGTCCATCACCTCAGTGAGACTTTGAGCCCACATTCTTCTGTTAGCAGTGAGTCAAACATTTATTTTCTGCATTGCATCCTATTGACTCAAAATTGCTTATAGCTTTTAGTTTGGTGCTTGTGGTTCACTTTGTCTCCATGAAAACGAGACTTTCCAAGTCCATGTATGAAATGCACGTGTTCACAATTTTGGTATTTATACCCTCCTCCTTTTTTTAAATGACGTAGCTGGTCCTGTTGTGGGAGACTCCCTGAAGAACAAACCACTGGGCCTTCATACATGTGCCTCGTATCCAGCTGGCCTGCTGCATCTGCTGCTCCGCTGGGTTTACTTCTGACCTCATGCTCTCCCCACTCTTTTTTTTTTTAAAGACAGGATCTTGCTATGTGGCTGGTTTTTTTCTTTTCTTTTCTTTCTTCTTTTTGGTACCAGGGATCAAACTCGGGAACTTGAGTTTGCAAGGCAGGCGGTGGAACCACTGAGGTAAATCCCCAGCTATGTGGCTCAGTTTGACCCTGAACTCACTACAAGCCCAGACTATCCTTGAACTCTCAGTGATCCTCTTGCCTCAGCCTCTTAAGTGCTGGGATCACAGGTGTGCACAACCACACTCAGCTTCTCCCAACTTTTAAAACACTTCTCTTCATAGTTTCTTCATGCCATTTTGAACTCTTCTACCTAGTATGATGGGTGAAAGCATTCTTAAAGCTTTTGTGAAAGTCCATTATATAACTTAGTAAAACCAGAAATGTTTGACACTCTTTTAGGAATCTAGCCTAAGGAAAGAGTGTAACAAAAACAGTCTGGGGGGGGTGGCTTATTCATAGTAATAAAAAGTGAAAATCATCCAAATGCCTGTAAAAGCAGTTACCCAAGAGAATGGGTAAGTACTGGTTCTACCCACACAAGGAATGATTTTGCAGCCATTAACAGCCATTTCAGAAGAGCACATAGGACCTGGGCATCCTGATGCATGCCTGTAGTCCTGGCACTTGGGAGCCTGAGGCAAGAGGATTGCTGTGAGTTCGAGACCAGCTTGTGCTACATAGTAAGTTTAAGAACAGCCTGAACTGCACAGCAAAACCTTGTCTCAAAAAAAAAAAAAGAAAGAAAAGAAAGAAAGAGAACATAGTGCAAGAAAATGCTCATAACAACCCAAGAAGGGAGCTGAGGAAGCTTCCTATAGAAAGGCTCTGCTCAGCAGTTAGGGAAAGATTTAAATCCCTCTGCTTGACATGTGCAATTACCAGGATCACTCACATTAAAATCCAGTTGTTCCTGCTTCCAACTTGTTCTCTGGAATTCCAGTCAATAATGTCAACTCTTGCCATAGGAAAGGCACTGTGCCAGCTGCTACTGGAGACTCAAACTAGAATGTGCTCAGTGGTTGCTTTGCAGTTCTTATTTTTGACAACATGGATCACTTCCCCCTTCTTGAAATTGCCTTCTCTCTTGGCTTCCTCAAAACTGTCTCTACCAGTTTTCCAATTATCTCTCCAGCTGCCCCTCCTATGTATCTTCCTTGGGTCCCATTCCTGTGTTGTCTGTATATGATGGAGTTTTTGTGACATGATTTAAGCTATCCTCTGTCTTATCCCTCAACCCATTCTTGTGCCACCATACCTACAGTTCCAAGAATGGGTCCTGGGTTCGCATGTCTAATATGCATTAATTTTATCCTGAATATGAACATGAGGTGTTTAGATCAGAGAGGTTTTATTATTATTCACTTAAAAAACAAACACTAAATATGTGATTCTCCAGTCACAATTCTTTTTTACTTCAAAAAAATGTCATTTTATTTGTACACTTAAAAATTTGTACATAGAAACTTGTAAAACTGTTCTGTAAAACTGAAAGAACTGTCAGGGTGAAGTTTTTTTAAACACTGAGGAAATTAGAGAAATAAAACAAAAACAGTAAAATGTTTAAAAGATTAACATTTTTCAAGTATAAATTTTATAAATACAAATTCACAAATTATTCTGAATGCTAAATAAATATCTAGTTAATAAACCGAGACTTAATATGTCCAGCCAGCACCCATTCACAGTTCTTACCCTTGCAGCAATCCAGTGACAGGCAGACCAAAGCCAGGGAGGTTACATATCTTATTCCTGCACACTTGGCAGTCTGGGTGAGAAGAGGATATGGATTTTCTCTGCTGGTATACAGGAGAAAGGCTGGTGACTCCCCACACCTCATAAAAATAGGAGGGAAACCTTTTGCTTGTCAGAGACAGAATGGAAAGGATTCTGTGCTTCCAAAGAGAACTTTCTGGAATGTAAATGAAGTCTCTCTGGCCAGAGCTCCCATTTGTCTCCAGCTTTCATGACCTAGAGACCTTCATGCTTCTGGGCCTCACTGCTCCTTGAAAGGTCAGCATCTAGGGAGCTCGTGTTCCAGGGCTCCCAGTACCTTTGGTGCTGGCGCATAATTTATAATTTAGATTATGCACCAGCTCCATAGGTATAATATATCTCTGCCCCTGGATCCCGGCTGGGAGGTCTAGAAATGCCTGGAACCTCCTGAGTGCGAAGAGTGTCTTATTATTCATTTCCACCAGAGCCGAGTTTATGCAAAGGAGGTGACTCCAGATGAGCCCTCAGAGAATTTCAAGGGAGATTAGAGGAGATTAGAGGCTGAGGACTTTCTCTGTCACCTCACCCTCATTCTCAAGGAAGAGGGAGACTGGAGATGGAGTTCAGTCACTGTGGCCATGAAGTCTCCATAGAAACGTGTTGAGTAACGAGGCCAGGAGAGCTTCTTGGGGTGAAGATGTTTATGTGCTGAGCAGGAGGGTGCACTGGACTCCCAGGGATAGAAGGTCCTGTGCTTGGGTCTTTCTGAACCTGGCCCCCTGCACCCCTTCATCTGGCTATTCCCATGTCCTCCATCATGAACTGGTCTTGCTGGCTTGTGTTCTGAGCCGTTCTGAGGAACTACCATGCTGAACAGGGGAAGAAAGCAGGTAGCCGGGGGCCTGTCTGTGTCCAGAGTGTGCAGCAACCCTGGGCAGTGAGCGTTGGAACTGATGTGAGAGGTAGGACACCCAGTTTGTGTCAGAGACTGAGAATTACTGTTAGGAAAAGAACATTTTCTCTGCACTTGGTGCTCCTTGAGATGGAGCTTTTATTCTCTGCTAATCACCATATTTCTGTAAAATAAGAATTCAATAAACAGTTTGTTATATTATTATTTACAGTCTCTGAATTGACAATCAAAATGAGATAAGCACACAAGTTATCATCAAAGTAAAATTACTTAAATTCCATAAAATAAACAAAGTTCCATTAGTATTTTAAGAAGAGAAAATAGACTTTCCAGTTGAAGGACTGCCTGCTATTGCAAATGCCCATGATTGCAGAAGATGCTTTCGGTGGCAGAGAGTTCCACAAACCAAATGGCACCTCAGACACTCAGAGCCACTTCCTCCTCCCCAGGTCCTCCAGCTCCAGGCCTCCTTCCCCCCAAGCACAGAAGCCACTCTGCTGACAAGTCTCAGGGCTGCACTTTGTTGATCCATACATACACATGTTGATAGCACAACTCATAACAGCTAAATCTTGAAAGAGGCCTATATGCCCATCAACAGATGAATGAATAAAGAAAATTTCATATTTACACACAATGGAGTACTATTCTGCCATAAAAAAGGATAAACTTGAGTTATTTGTAGGAAAATGAGACCCAGTATTAAGTGAAATAAATCAGACACAGAAGCTTAAATATTGCACAGTTTCTCTTATATGAGAAACCCAAAATATAAATGAAGAGCAAAATAAAAAAGAGAGAGAGGCTCTGCTGCTACCAAGGAATCTGGAAGAGGCTTCACTTCAGATAAGGGTGCTCCCACTGGCAGGCAGCTGCAGGGCTCTGCCTGTGACCAGCTTCAGCATCCAGCTGCAGGGTGAGGCCTGGCCACTGTGGGATTCCTGCCTCATGCACACCTCTCTGAGTACAACTCACCAGAGACAGGACAACAGACAGCATTCTCATTCCTGACCTAAATCACCTAAAAGTGATAACCCGGGAAAGAAAAGGTGGAATCTTTCCCCGAATCTGTGGGAATACATACTGAGAGGCTCCTAAGATGCTTAATGAAGCTGGGTATTGTGGTGCACATCTGTAATACCGGCAGTCTGGGATACTGAGACAGGAGAATCAAAAGTTCAAGCCCATGCTGGGCAACTTGGTGAAGTAGTAAGAATCTGTATCAAAATAAAACTGGCTGGAGATGTAGCTTGGTGTGAAGGCCCTGCGTTCAATCAATTATCAGTACAACAAGACAAAACAAAAATAAAAACTTGGTTTTTTTTTTGTACCAAGGATCGAACTCAGGATAGTGCTATGCTGCTGAGCTAAATCCCCAGACAAAAACCTTAATGAGAATCACATCACATAGATATTTTCCCCTTTGGGACAATCGAAGTACTGATACACCAACAGAAAGGAAGTGTTTACCGTGGTTCCAAAGAGCGAAGGTTTGAGAATTCAGATGAAGAAGGAATTGAAACATGTGGATGAGGATGGATGGATGCCAGGGCGCCTCCAGCAATGCTAGCCCTGCTTAGATCTCTTAACTGTCCTCCAGCATCAGGAGACTCCACATAAAGACCCAGATCCTCAAAGAGCACTCAGCCAGGGTCAGCACAGCCACAGGATCTCTGCAGTGTCCTGCAGGAAGTTCCCTACCTCCTGGATGGCAGAGGCAGCAGCAAAACCCTGCAACTTCTGCCCCTGGCAGGAGAGCAGAAAAGGCCAATGGCAGATGTGGTTAACAAGGGCTGTCATTTTAGAGTTCTCCTTACTCCTGGGGACAGGCTTCAAGCACTCAACTGCAGTGTTTTATCTGAAGTCTATTTATTTTGCTTGCAGAAGTGTGGCAGTTTCTGGGTTGCTGTTTATCAACAAGTGCTTGTTGAGTCAGTGGCAAAACGAGCTGGGAAAAGGAAGCTTCTCAATGCACTGCTTTGTCTTTACCTTGGAGCACCTTTTACAAGGAATGTCCTAAGCTGAGTCTAATCATCTGACTTCAAATATTTGTCTGTTAGAATGCCTAGTACTTTACGGAAGGAGGAAGAAAACTTGTGTAGTGTTTCTGTTCAGACGAGTGATATAGAGTGATATACTTCTGTTTCTGTTAGAAGTAGAACTGCAATTGAACAAACTGTGAGTTAGTTTTGTACAATTATTAAGAGCTGCCCTTTCCCCACTACCACTACAGGCTTAAGCAGATGGTGGTCAAAGAGGTTTAGCTATGAAGTATAAGTTGTGTTCTTGGTTTTCATTATACAGCAGAACAATAATATGTTTCTGGCTTTGTAACTATGTTACACCAATGCTGTGTTTGCACAGTACCATTTTACAGGAAAGAGTGCACACAGCAGGCTTGCGACTATCATCTTTAGAAAGCCCTTGCAAGGCTGACCCTTGGCTATCATCTAGGAACTTAAATTTTGGAAGAGATCATTCCTAGAACTGACAAAATTAGCTTTCTGTGCCCCAAGTGTTTTTAAAACAGTATGTTACTACTGAATATCTGCTTTCTTTCTAAGCTTGGAAAGCTAGTACATGCAAGACAGGATGCTTACATGAGCTGCCCCCGACAAAAGCCCTGGCCACGGAGTCTCTAAAAGGTTCCCTGGAGGTGACAGTTCACACATGTCATAGTTCACTGTTGAAGGAATTAAGCTCTGTCCTGTCTGGTTCTATGAGGAGAGGACTTGGAAGCTTGTACATAATTCAGACATCCTTCCAGGAGCCCCCCTTTTTAAATTTTTTGGTATCAGAGATCGAACTCAGGTCCTTGAGCTTGCAAGGTAGGTGGCAGAACCACTGAGTTAAATCCCTGGCCCAAGGAGCCCTTTTCTTTTGCAAACTTTGCTTTGTATCATTTGGTTGTAATAAACCAGCCATGAGTATCACTATACACTGAGTCCTCAAGTCCCCCTGTGGATCACTGAAGTTGTCAGTGGTCTTAGAAACTCCTATTAGTTATCTAGAAAGAAAACTGCATTGAGTAAGCCTATAGGATTGGAATAAAAATTGCCTCCCCCCCCAAAGTTAGTGCTTCCTTTCATATGCCAGATGGGCCCCTCAGGGATTCAAATCATACTGAGTACTGCTTTGTTCCTATAAACACAAATTGCAATTCATATTAGTACTGAAAATGAACCCCAAAATCCTCCAACATAATTTATTCATCTTTGTGGACCTTGAGACTGTACTTTTTTTTTTTTTTTTGGTACCTGAGATCAAACACAGTATCTTGCGCTTTCAAGGCAGGAGGCAGAACCACTGAGCTAAATCCCCACCCGATACCATACTCTTAAGTGAAATAAATCAGACACACATATTTAAATACATTGTTTCTCTGGTGTGAGAAACGGAAAGTGGAAGTAAGGACTAAAATGTATAATAGATATTGGGAAATGGGAAGAAAATGTTCACATGGGAAGGGGAACAAGGGAGGAGGGAGGGAGAAAGGAAGGGACAAGAAAAAAAAGTGAAAATGGAAAAATTGGAAACAGCTTTTGTATATAGGGTGGGGAGGGGCCTTGAGGGGAGAGAGGATGGAAAGAGGGGCGGGATGCACCATGTACAGGTGCAAGTTCCCGCTGATGAGTGTTATTATTATGTATGCCTAAAATGCACCAATAAATGTTGTACTATAAAAAAATGTATTCATGTTTGTACTAAGTATAAGAAATGTTTTATGATCCTCTTTTCCCCGAAGGCGGAAAGAGTATTCACGATGCTCTTGAATTTTAAATCACTAGGTAGACTGTAGTAGACTCCAGGCAATGGCAACAGCACACGGCCATAAAAGTGCCCTGTGTTTGGTACCGCAAGCCCATTACCTGGAGAGAGGCTGAGTATAAACTGTGGGCGAGGAGAAGGGAGCAATTAAGTCAGAGGCTTCGAATGTCAACTTGGGGAATTTGGACTTAAACTGGTTAGATCATAGATTCAATAGATGACTCATAGTATGCCCTTCAAGGTTAAGGAGAAACTCAAGTCACACCAGGTCTAAGAGAGCTGGAGACGTCACAGATTGCAGGGTGGCGTCATTCTCCGCAGGGGGGAGGAAGATGCGGGCGCCCCCTGCCTCATCCTACTCAAAACCAGGCAGACACCAGAGCAATGAGGTGGCAGATTTTAAGAAAAGGAGCCTGAAGATTAACCCAGATCACCAGAAGACTGAAATCCAAAGAAAGGTTTCCGTGGGTCCTCCGGCTCGAGGCCAATTGCCCGCACACTGGGCGTCCCGGGTGGAGGCCGCGCAGCAGTGTTGCCAGTCTAGGCTTTCACCTGCGCAAAGAGAGTCCTTAACCTTGAATGCAGTTTTACAAATTGATATTTTGGGTTCAGCAGGGTTATCGCAGCTTTTCTTTTTCTGGCACAACTAGCCGTCTAAATACACACTACCCTCTTGCATCCATCGAGAAAGCCGACCAGCTACCCGGTAGGGCGACCCGGAAGCTGCCCATCCACCCTGTCTCCCCCTGCTTCCTGGAAGCCCCTGCGCATGCTTGCCCGCGGCCGCGCCGGAAGTAACGTCACCGCGCGCCTGGCCGGTCGTTATGCAGGCCTTGCGGGGAGCCAGCTTCGCGCGGGGCCTAGGGGCCCTGGTTCCAGCCTGGCTATGGGGCTCTCGTGGCCGCCCCTTGGCCCTGGCGCGTGCGGCAGGGGCGCTCGGAGTGGGGGGCAGGCGGACCCCGGCCCGGCGGGAGCCGCGCGCGCGCGCGTTGGGCCTGTCGGCCGCGGCGGTGGTGAGCGCTGCGCCCCGCCCCCTGCAGCCCTACCTGCGCCTCATGCGCCTGGACAAGCCCATCGGTGAGTGCGACTCGGGCGCTGGGAGGCGACCTCCCCAGGAACGCGTCGGCCTCCCGCCCTGAGCCCTGAGCCCCAGAGGCGGGCTGAGATCAAGCTCACTCATGCTCAGTGTAACAGGAGGCCATCACAGGCTTATGGGCTGAGTCCTGGAGCCAGATCTCTTGGATCTGACTATCCATTCAGGAAGCTTGGTTAAAGTACTTAACCTTTCTGAGCTTTACTTCTTACCTATAAAATGAAGATACTAATACTCTATAAGGTTACGTGAAGTTCCACAAACACATGTTAAGTACTTTGAACAATGCCTGACATAAAGGCCATTATTCCTGCATAAATGGGGATTAGAGAAAATTGTGTTTATAGTCATGTATGTTAAGATGATATCAGCCTACATGCTTTGGCTCTAATTTTTTTATAAAACTTAGAATTCATTCAGCAAACCTTTTTGAGCCCCTACTGCATATGCTAGGAACAGTAATTGACAGTGCTGGAATTCCTGGTTTAATATTTCTTTATTTAAATTCTCCTCTTGTGGGGTAATTTTATGTTTGTTGTTTTACTTTATTGAAGGTGTATCTTGTCACTTTCATAAGCCAGTAGTGGTTTTCTTTTTGGAGAAGGTAAATGGGTCAGTCAACCCACATTACTTCAGGAAGTTTCAGCAGGTGGTATTCTTTCCACCAAATTAGCAGTGCGTTTATGGTTGTGTTATCTTAAAGATAATCTCTTAGGTGAATGAGTCCTAGACTTGGTTTAATCTGCCCATCACCTTTTAGAACTTGCTCCCTTTACTTCATCTCCCAGAGATTATCCTTTTTTCACAATAAACATTTCTTTCTGCAACCTATTTGTCTCTTACCCTTACTATCTCTGCATCTTTCTTTACAGAAGGGAGCATAAGGAATCAAAGTGTCATAGACAAGACAGGAGAAAAGACAGAAAAACATGTTGCTGGGAATCAGTAGGCACAAGAAGTAGAATCTAAATGTTGTATATTTAAGTATACATAGTTGACCTAAGGCATAGACTATAGACACGTTGCCTGGGTTGGAATTCTCCTATGGCCACTTTTTACCTGCATACCTTGGATAAATTACTTCCTCTCTGGTTCAGCATCTGTATTTATAAAGTTGGTGTAATAAAAATAGCTCCAGCCTCATAGGATTGTTGTGAAAATTATCAACGTCCTATGGAAACCCCTGCAAACCATCGTTGCTAATATTGTCATCTCATCACAACTCGGTGAGGTAGATATCTTTTTCCTTCCTTTACAAATGAATCCAAGACTAAAGCCCTGAGAAACCTTAGTGCCTAGTGTCACTCACCTTACATGCCAATGGGGAAGTCTCACTGCTCTTTCCACAGGAGCTCTTATGTAGAGGAACCATACAGATTCCCATCAGTAAGTAAACCCCATACTTACAATACAGACTACTTGTTGCCAAGGAAATTTTGTTTTCTGACACTGCATTATAGTTGATGACACATTTTCCTTTGTAAATTTTTTTCTTTTTAATGGAATCTTTAGTTCTGATAGATGAAAAATGTTACTGAAATGTAGTTTTAATGTGTGTTTCTCAAAGTTGAGTGTGTCTTCTTTTTTTTTTTTTTTTTTGGTACTGGGGATTGAACTCAGGACCTTGCGCTTGCAAGGCAGATGGTGGAACCACTGAGCTAAATCCTCAGCCCGAGTGTGTCTTCTTATGTAGAAGAGCCATTTATTTGTATATTTCTTCTCCATGAATATTACTTTTATTATGTCTTTGGGGTGTTTCCTAATTGGATGACTTATCTTTTTATTCTCCATTTCTAGGGGTTCTTTACATATTAGGGAGAATAGTCCTTTATAATATGATGTGTATATTTCTGAGTTTCTTAAAGTGTTTTTTAAAATTTTGCTTATAGTGTTTCTTTAGGACATGGTAGTTAAACAAATGAAGACCAGTTAACTGACTTGAATTCCTACCTTTTTTGTCTTTCTACTTTTGCTTAGGAACCTGGCTGTTATATTTGCCGTGTACCTGGAGCATTAGTTTGGCAGCTGAGCCTGGGTGTTTTCCAGATTGGTACATGTTATCCCTCTTTGGCACTGGAGCTATTCTGATGCGTGGAGCAGGCTGTACTATTAATGACATGTGGGACCGTGACTATGATAAAAAGGTAGTTTCATCCTGGAAAGGAACAGAGCAGCAACTCTCAGTTTTGCAGAATGCCATGGTTGGGTCACTTTTGAATGCCACATAAAGCAACAAGATCACTTAGTGTTCACACTGACCTCCAGCATGAGAAGTGTGGGCATGAGGGAACAGCTGGCCATGCAGGTGCACTTCACTTCCTTTCTCAACACAAGTGTCCACAGGGCAAAGTGTGTATTTTGACAGTGAGAAATTTGGAAGGTGAAGGTAAAGAAATTAAAGGCTAGGAATGGATTCCATCCTGAACCTTAGTCATCCCTGCCTTTGAGATGTACTTTGGAACCCTAACTTCTTTTTTTTTTTTGGTGGTTGATACTGGGAATGGAACCCAGGGACTCCTCCATACAACTGTGCTAAGTGCCTGCTCTATCACTGAGCTGTGTTCCTAAATCAACTCTTAATCTAACTGAACCAAGGCAGTGCTGATAGCATTACCTATACAGAAGCACCCCCTTATCCTCAGTTTGCTTCTCAGGGTTTCAGTTACCCACTGTCAACCACAATACAAAAATATTAAAAGGGGGTTTTCAGAAATAAACAGTTTGTGAGCTTTAAATTGTGCACCATTCTGGGTAGTGTGAAGACATCTCTTACTAAAAGTATATTGTTATAATTATTGTTTTAATTACTATGATTACTTGCTTACTGTATCTAAAAGATAAATTTAATTTCCCATTGGTAGGTATTTATGAGAAAAAGCATAGTATAGTTGGAGTTTGGTATTGTGTGATTTCAGGCATCCACTGGAGGTCTTAGAATGTATCCCCCATTGATAAGGAGTAACCATAATTAGTTCCTTGAAGAAATACAACTTTATTCCTTTTTCTTAGAAAAATATTACATACTTGTTTAGAAAAATTCTGTAAATACAGAAATGAAAAGTTAGAAAGTATACATCCTTCTTGTCTCTTCCTCGTCCTCGAAAAAAACTTTAGTTAACAGTTTGCCCCACTGTATTCCTCTGGATCATTTTGTGCATACTCTAAAGCATGTGTGTATAATTATTTCTTTGTTGTTCAACAGACCTTTATTTTCTGAGAGAGGCCATTTTGTTTGCTTTTTATTCCAGCAGCTGTGCCCTATGTTCAGGATCATTAAATGCTTGTGTAAATAATTAATTTTGAATTGAAAGGAAGCCCATACTGAATTATATAATTTCTATATAATTATATAATTTCTATAAACTTATATAAAGTAAATCGTTTGCCTTTCATATAATCTGAATTTTCTCATTAACTTTTTTTTTTTCCTTTTTTTGGTACCGAGGATCAATCTCTGGACCTTGTATTTGCAAGGCAGCCAGTGGTACCACTGAGCTAAATCCCCAGCCCTCTAATCTGAATTTTCTTTAAGCAAAATACACTTAGAAGAATTTTTAGCTTATAGCACAGTGTCACATTCATATCATTTTAATTAAGAGAAATTTATTGAATACTTGCTGTGTGTGGGACCAGTTACAGGGTCTCAGATTGCATGAAGGGAAACATTTCTGACCACAGGATTGGTGTATTATAATCCAGTGACAGTTCCATGAAAATGCTGCCCACCTCTCAGCTAAAGGGAGGCCCAGAGAGAACTTGGCAGGAGTAGGGGACTGGGGTTAGCTTTGAACTCTGTCAGGATAAGATGGCACAAGAGGAGGGGGCTGGAGGTTGAAGGCTATGCTAGGCAGAAGGAACAGCAGGCACAGGGGCAGACTGTGACGCACAGTATATTACATTTGGTAACTGCAGCTCGGCAGTAGGACAGGATGTAGAGGAAGGTGGCAGGAGCTGTATGGCAAAGCAGCTCCATGCAGTGACGTGGTTGAGGTGTCTGATTTCCCAGCAGATGCACCCTTCTTGATTTGGAGGCTGACACTTCCATTTATTTATGAGGATTAGATCTGTTCAGATAAACATTTGAGATTATTTGGAAAGCGTTTTGTTCTTAATAATCTACCTTCCAAAACTAATTTAAGACCTGTGATTGGTGAATAGGGAACTTAAAGATGAAATGTAAAATTGTAATTTTTTCTGTTTTGGGTTAGTTGGTTTTTTTCATCTCTGAGGATACAACCCAGGGCCCTTGAACTACATCCTGCCCTGAGCTACATCCTTGCCCTGAGCTACATCTCCAGCTTTGCCCCCTTTTGGTTTTTTGAGACAGGGTCTCCCTAGCCTGAGCTAGAACTTGCAGTCCTCCTGCCTCACCCTCCTAGAGTGTTGAAATCACAGGGATGTGTCACCACTCCTGGCTTGTACATGAATGTTTATAGTGGCTTTAGTTGTAATTAACTGGAAACAATCAGATGTCCTTCATTGGATGCATAAACAGTGTATGATACATCCATACCATAGAGTACTACAGCACCAAAAAAGAATAAGCAATAAATCCATGCCACCTTTCAGAGAAGTACATCAAGGAGAAAAAACAATTTGAAGAGGTTAGATGCTGTGTGCTTCCATTCATGCAGCATCCTTGAAATGACATTACAGAATGGTGAATAGATAAGTTGGCAGGAAATAGAGAAAGGAGGCAGGATGTGGCTGTTAAAGGGCAAACTGAGGGATGCTTGTGGTAGTAGTGTTAACAATCTTTTTTTTTATTGTTAAAGTGTTACAATCTTGTTTGTAGCAATGGTGGGATCTTGGTTGTGAGGGGCTGGCAGTGGAGTTCACCAGTGCTAGAGTGCTTACCTAGCACACAGAGCCCTAGGTTCCATCTGCAGCAACACTCCCCACCCCCCCCCAAATCTTGGTTTTGAGATCATGCTGTACTTTTGCAAGATGTTACTATTGGAAGGAACTAGATAAAGAAATTCCCATGTCTTAAAACTCCAAAAGAAAAAGCTTTGTTAAAAAATAATATGTTCAAACCAACCAACTTTCTCCATTTATTTAGTGAAGTATGACCAGTTTAGTTCTCCTGAAGTGATTTTTTTTTTTCCCTGTAGGTAAAACGGAGCTGACTAGTTATCTTTTTCATGCCTTTTTTCAGATAGAAGGAAGAGCCCAGATGGTTTATTGGTGTACAGCAAGGTACTAAGAGAATGTGTTATAATTGTTGAGGTGGTTTTACTAACATGCATTTTAAAATATTCTATATATCTCTTTAAAAGGATGGGTTAAAAAGATTGGCCTAATTATAATCCTTATCTCAATTTCTTAAAATCAGTGTACCAAGGACATGTTCATGGGTTTTGCTTAATGCATTGCAAGTTAAATAAAGGGCTAATACATTAAATGGTAATTAAATTGTTACAAGGGTGTATAGGTTCTGTTTGTCGACGTTGCATATAATTTACCAGCAGCATGATTATGTGATAAAAATTAGGTTAAGAACATTAAAATACTAATCTTAATACATGGGTATGAATGATTTATTTTTGTAAGCTATGAGTGTTCTGGTTTCATAGACTAGGCTTTGATAATCAAGTTACATCATTTTTATTCTTGATTGGGTTTGTTTATTTGCACCTTTTGAACTTAGTAGGAAATTCTGTACTGAAGGAGAGTGAACCTTCTGGTTAGTAGAACTGGAGAAGCTGTGCTAACCCTCAGCATCTGTGACCTTGGAACGTTACTGAGCCTCTCATGGTTTCATCCACATTAGAAATGGCAAGAACTGGTTAAGCACAGCTGCCTGTGGAGGCCAACGGCACCCTCTATGCCCGTGCGTGGGTTGTGTCCCCAATTCCTTCAGTCATGCAATGCCTGAGCAGGAGGACACTCAGCAGATCGAAGGATGAAAATCTGTAAACAGAAGGCAATCTAGAACACATGTCCATACAGAGATTAACAAAGAAAATTATTCAGCGACCAATGGTCCTCTGGGAAAATTACTTTCGATGGAATCCAAGAAAACCAAACAACATTGATTTTTCCAAAGAAGAAATTCTGCAGAAAATTCATCTGTATAGTACATTTATTAACATATATGGTTACTTAACATCTGTGATTCATCACAGAATTTTAATAAGACCAATTAAAATATCTAAAGAGGTTAAAAAAAAAAGAAATGGCAAGAACTTGTGAATGATGCCGTTGTAGCTCTTACAATATGGCACATTACAAGCACTCAGATTCTTGCTGGAATTATGGAAGTATCTTGAAACATTAAAAATACTATTTCCAATTTAAAACCTTAGGAACCACCTCAAGCATAAAGATCCACTTCTGGTCCTCTAACCACTAGACTGAGTTTTTGGGAGCTACTTTATTGCCTTGTGAAGCATGATATAAATCTAGTCAGCAGCTCCTTTCTTTCTTTTTTTTTGAGACAAGGTCTCACTTTATAGTTCAGGCTGGCTCCGAACTTACTGTGTAGCCCAGGCTGGTCTCAAACTCAGAAATCCTCCTGCCTCAGCCTCCTGAGTGCTGGGATTACAGGTGTGCACCACCATGCCCAGCTAGCAGCAGCCTTTTTCTGTACAGAACCAGTTTGTAAATATTTTAGGTTTTGTTGGCCAAATCATCTTCATTGCAATTGATTAACTTCTTGTTAGAGTGTGAAAGCAGCCATAGACAATGTGTTAAAAAATGGATAAGGGGGCCTGGGGATTTAGCTCAGTGGTTCTGCCACCTGCCTCGCAAGCGCAAGGTCCCAAGTTCGATCCCTGGTACCAAAAAACCAACAACAACAAAACACACACACACACACAAAATGGCTAAGAGTGGGTTTCTGAATAAAACTTTTATTTGTAGACACTGAAATTTGAATTTAGTATTTTTTCATATATTATCCTTTGAAAAATTTTCATTTATTTAAAAATATAAAAACCATCCTTAGTTCATT